GTGTCCCTGCCCGTGGCAGGGGGTGGAACGGGAGGAGCTCTGAGGTCCCTTCCAACACAAACCTTTCTATGGTTCTGTGATTCTATAAGTATGTCCTACAAAGGACAAGTTTCAAATCTTAACCTGCCCCCAAACCCCTAATCGAAGCAGAGCTGTGAGGAGCCAGGACGCTGCCTGAGTAGGCCCCTCCTGGCTCCACCCAGCCAGCTCAGGAGAGAACAAAACCCCTGTGAGATGCTTGAGGTCCCTCTCTCCTCCATGCTGAAGAGAAGCAGGTGAGTGTGGATCAATCACAATCATTGCTGGTACTTCAGCTTTTCACACCAACACCGTACAACATCACACCAGGACCCTCCCACCTTTCCCAGGAGAGGGGCTCAAGAACAAGCACAGAAGGGATTCCTCTATCAAATTATTCGTGATGGGAAGTCAGTGTTCAAGTGCCTGGAGCCAGATGAAGCCAGACTGAAGTAAAGCCCAGGCAAGCAAAAAACCCAGGTTTAATTGCACTTTATTTTTCAGGAAGTGAAACACAAATCCCTCAGGATGTCTAACTGGAACAGGAAACAAGAAGTGGAATTGCTTAGTATTGGTCACAACCTCCACTAGGACACTGCCACCTCCAAGGGGGTGAGAGGCCACAGCTGGGTGCCCCCCCCCCCACCCCAAGGCAGGGGCACCCCTTCGGGGGGTGGGGGGCCCCAGGTGGGTGCCCCCCCCCCCAGCCCAAGGCAGGGGTACCCCTTCAGACTCGGCACTGAATAACCAGGTTGTGCCTTGACTTCTAGAGTGGGGTCCCAGGGAACCCAGCTGAGGTCACCCTGTGAGGTACCCAACCTGGGGCCACACAGACCTCATCTCACAGCCTTTGGTCTCTTCCCCTTTTAGCTGCTCTGAGGGTGCAGCACAGGGACCTGCCACATTCTTAAGACAGGGCAGTTATGAGGACACAGATCAAATTCATTCAGAGATGATAAAAGGCAGTTTTAAACTAAACTGTAGTAGGATTATTTGAAGCGCTTCCATTTTATTAAGGGAAGGGAGTTACTTGTTTTAAAGACACAAAGACCTGCTCGTAGTTTTAACTGTGTTAGTGCCAATGAGCCTAGAAGTAAAAGTGCTAGGAGGAACCAGACGTGGTGGCCCTGTTGTCTGTGCTCTCTGCCTTCCCCTCTTGGTCCACTTAGACTGAACAGTTACACCCCAAGCCCTCAGCAGAGCCCCAGAGATCAGGTTTGAACTCATGGTGTGACCATCACAGGTAAAGAGCAGCAGAGAAAAAGGCACAGGAGAGGGGCCTGGCCGCCTGCAGGAGCTCCTCTCTCTGGGCAAGCAGCACGTTACACACCTGTGTTGCTGCCTCCACTGCCAGTGGAACACAAGGCAGCAAACCCCAAACCCTCACCTCTGGATGCAAACAGGGATCTGAGCCTCAGGGTCCTCCATAAAACACAGCTGCAGATTTGGCTTCTTAAAACAGCAACTAGGAGATGCTACATCTGTGCTTGGAGCATTGGTGTAACAGAGCCCTGACCCACCACACTGCTCATGGGGGTCTGAGCCCCACATGCCAGAGCACTGAACATGACAGCAACGGGCTCTCTCAGTTGAATGTCCCACCACACAGTGCTCATAGATGGTGATGGGATGCTGTTAAGAGTCCCTGGGAACTAAGAGAAGTATTTCCAGGAGATCTTGACTGGGGACACAGACAAGACTTTAGTCTGTTTCTTTTAAAAAGCAGTTACTAGTACAGGTCCTGCCAGACCTGGTTTTCTGAAGCACTTTACAAAGTTGATACTTGCATCAGGTTTCAGATTAATCAATCAACTGTTCACAGAAGGAGAACAATACAAATATGCAGAGACTGGCTGGTTCCTTCAGCTCGTCCCAATCTCTGCTCATGTCTGTCAGGTCAGAGTGATGGGTCTGAGTGCCTGTGGGTGCTGAAGAGCCACTTGCCCTCAGGCCCCATCAGTCTGCAGTACCAGATTCTGGGAAGTCCCTGGTTGTTCACAACTGTCCCATGTATGCAGCTCATTAAGTGCTCAGTGCAGAGGAAGAGGCCATGCTCAGAGGAGAGGGCTCTCAGGCTCACCAGCACATCTTCATCCCAACCAGTCCAGATCATCGTCATCATCATCACCAAAGAGTGGAGCTGGAGGGGGACGCCCCTTCATGCTCTGGAAGTCAAACCACAGGGAAACTTGTCAGTCTTAGAGCTTCCCAGTAGTAATTGCTACACAGTTCTGGCTCTGAACTCTCAGTTGGCTTCAAGGACATGGTACAAAGAAGCCTCATTACTGAAGCTTTTGCATTTCTCACATGGTGTCTTACTATTCCAGGAGAGATGCTCTCAGGCCAACAAGGATTACAAGACACCAAAACCTTTCCCTTAACCTGGAAGGTCTCACTAATTTCATGCCAGCAGGAACTGGTCATTACACTACCTCAGCCCACACAACCCCTCCAAGCTCAACAATTAACAAACCCAGATACTCTTGATTTAGACAGAGGACATAGGGGAAGTGCTGAGCTCTGCTGCAGAAGCCTGTCAGACCCCACTGCCACAGGGAGGATTTCACAGACAAGCTCCAGGTTAAACCTGAACCAGTTCAGAAGGAGCAGAAAGATATAAATACACACCACTTCCTCCTCATCCTCCTCTTCAGAGGAAACTCGAGGCTTCAGTGGTTTCTGAGATGCTGTTTCAAAGAAGTTGTCATCCTCAAAGAGGCTGGAAGAAGATAAAGAATGAACAGTTCACTTGCAGATGACAGGATCTTGGTTTTACAAGTTTTAGTAATAAATGAGGGAAGAGCTTTGTTGCTGAGGCAAACTTAAAGCACACACCATTCACCAGGGCAGATGATACTGGGACCTGGCAGCATCAAAACCAGCTTCAGCCCCTCCATGTGTGCCACCCTGCAGCAGAGCAGCTGTACCAGCCTCCCTGTGTGCTGCTGTTCCAAACCAAGCTGACCAGCAGCAAAGTGGGACTGTGGCTACTCCAGGAGTCACATCTTACCTGGAATCTTTCTGCTGGGGGCTGGAGTCCAGTTCCTGCTGTCCTGGGGTTTCTCTGCTGACAGCTGAGCTCAGCTCTGCTGTGTTGGATGCCAAAGGTGGCTCCTTCTGGGAGGTGGTTCCATCCAATGGGTCTGTGCAGTTCCCTCCCTCACCATTTAAGGGAGGGGGCTCTAAACCTCCCACAGGCTTCTCTACCTTCTGCTCCACAGCTGGCTTTCCTGGAAGCACTGCCACATCTGCTTCTGGCTTGGCCTCAAGAACAGAGGGTTCTGCAACTTCTGCCTGCAAAGACACTCTGGAGGGACTGCGTTCAGTCTCAGCTTTCCTGATGGGACTGCTCTCCTGTCTTTGCTCAGCTGGGACAAAGTCCTCATCTACCTCAGGAACAGGCTGTCCTGCAAGCACAGGCTCCTTATCAGGATCCAGGTGGGATTCAGCTGTGGAAGAGAGATGTTCCCCCTGGATCTTCTCCTCTTCTGCCACCCCACTGCTCTGTGTCACCGGCTCCTCCTCAGAAGCGGTGGGCCTAGCAGACAGAGGAGCAGACTCATCTTCCTGGCCAGGCACCACAGAGCCTGTGGCTGCTTCCCTTGGATCAGCTGGGAACGTGGCACTCTGTGCTGGGCTATGATGCACAACCTCTTCATGGTCAGGCTTTGCTCCAGGTGATTCCTCCTGTCTCGCTGCTCCTGGTCCAGATTCCTCCTTTTCACTGTCCTGATCTGGTTTCTCCTGCTGCCTGCTGAGTAGCTGCAGTGTTACAGTCTAAAAAATGAGAGAACACAGGTTATACCCTGAACATAAACCATCACAGATCCCTGTATCTTCTACTGCTGGGCTGCTTTACCACCCAGAGATTTCTGCTTCACAGTTATTTCAGCCCCACAACAGTTTTCTCTCACTGATCACCTTGTGCCTCTTATCACTGTTGTACCTTAATAGTGTTCATGACAACACCCAGAACTGTCCTGCCACTGTATGTTTCCTCCAGCTCAAATTCACCCCGAAGAGACTGAAACACCCCATTCATTATCTTCTTTACCTGGAAAAGAGTAAGAGAGGAAACAAAGATACAATTCATTAACATGTGAAGCACTGGCCTCAACATCAAATCCTTCTCCGGGTGAAGGAACAACAAATCCAAACACACACATGTGGTTTTCAAAGAATCCACTTTCCAAATCAGAAATTGCCAGTAGCAAAGCAGAATACATCATGTCATCTTAATTCAGAACCATTGCACACACACCAAACCCATCCCTCCACAACGGAGGCTGCACAAATCCAAGGCAGACTGACACTTACTTCTTAATTATTCATTCAATTTTTAAATCTAAACCTCAAATCTCTTTAATCTACAAAATAAAATGAAGCAACTGTGGCAGTAGGAAGGTAACATCCTTCCTTCTTCTACAGACCCTGCTACTAGAAACAAGTGCTTCTGTGGAGAAAATGATGTTTTTCTTTCTTATCTCAAAGAGAAATCACTCAAGGTAAATAGATTTGCTTAGTAAGGAGAAACACTGGAAGTGAAGCTCACTTCTTCTGTGAAGTCTGCAGGTGAAGATCCAGCCTGATCCCTCTCCAGGTCCCGGATGCGTTCTTCATAGTGAGCCTTCTGCACCACAATATCAGACTGCAAGGCTGAACACTGCCAAAGGGAAACAAAGTTAGAACAGCTCCCAAACACCATCACAGTGAACCTCACCACGGGTGGGTTACCTGTAACCAGCTGCTTAGTGAGGGGTAAATTGCTGAGTGGAGTTTTAAGTAGGGAAGACTTGGCTGAAAGTAACAGCACCAAAATAAATATACCCAAACAAGCTAAAACCTTGGAGATCCCCCAATTGTGTCAGTAGGTCTTCAAATAATACCTATAAGAGATCCCAGTGAAATGAGGGCCAGGTCTCATCCTTGGACCTGTTCTGGTTTGCTGGAAGCAACATGAAGTTATTCCTTCCCCTCTCATGTTCTGGAACTCATGTCCTTGTTATTCTGGACACAGGTAGCCCAACTGCACTCCAGTTCACATTCAGCTGCTGTGTTACTCCTTTTACCTTCTCTTTGATAGGCTCCAGTTGCTCCAAACGTTGCTGGAACTCAGACAATTTTTGCTCCTCTGCTTTTTTCGAGTGCTTTAGAGCTGCGAGCTGAAAGACAAGGAATAGAGCCCATCAGTTACAGCCCCCTTCAGTGTCACCCACCTCAAAACAGTTCCTGCTCAACCCAGAGAACAATGCAGACATGCAGAAGAGATTGTAGCTGTTGATGTCAGTCTCAGGCTAAAGCATCTCAGCTCTCCTTCTTTCAGAAGTGCTGCAGTAAATTCACTGACCCACTAACCCAATGGAATAGACACAAGTACAAACACATCCCATGGACAAACCAAATTCCTAACAGAAGTTAAAGACAAGCCACACTTAGGTGGGAGAGGCTGGTTAGTTACTGGTTATTTGGCATTACATTTCAGTCCTTTACCTTCTCTTCCAACTGGGACACCTGCTGCTGCAGCGTATCTCTCTGCTCACACACCTCCTGGTACTGTCTCAAGTGCTGCTCCTTGGCCGAGGCCAGCGTGCGTTCACATTTAGCTTCCCACTGGGATTCCAGCTCTGCCTGAATAAGTGACAGCTGCCCATCATGTAAGAGAGATCATTAGGAAGACACACACAAAGGGTATTTGCACAAGTGGCTAAAAGCTTGAGGCTGGACAATATGGAACACACCTACATGCAGACAGCAGCCCTGCAGCCGTCACCAGCTCCTGCCCACACCTCTCACCCCAATTCCAGCCACAATCCCACAGGCTGGCCTGAAGCTCTCACTCACATTTCAGATCTTTTGGCATGTTTCTAAGCAGTCTTTCATCAGCAGTCCTGTATTCTTTTCTCTACTATGAACCCAGTTTGGTGCCTCTGCTTCCCTCAGTTTGACACTCGTTAACACAGACTACATCTGATGCTGCCTGCCATCCTGCATCAATGCTGCAGCAAAACTCTGCAGCCATATCAGTGGCCTGGGTTTCAAGTCAGAGAACAACTGGGACCTTGCAGCCTTCCCGCCAACCCAAATCAGGCACTGCGTTAGAAAGACAGTGTAAATCCTGAAGTCAGAAGCAGGGCCAACAAACACCAGCAAAGATATTTTAGAAAGATAAAGTGAACCCTGTGTTAAAGTTAACCCCTAAAATCAAGCTGGTAACGTTTTCATTCTTCCACTACCTGAGCATTTGCACAACTGTTGCCTACGTGTATGTTCCTACCAGGCTTCCAGACACTTGTTGAAGCTCCCCCGACTCCTCACCTGCTCTGCTGCTGCCTGGTCAGTCGAAGTCCGCGCCTTTTTCAGCAGCTGTCGAAGCTTGTCCAGCTCCTGCTGATAGGATCTGCGGATTTCTTCCATCTCCTCCTCTGCCTGAGCTCTCTCCGTCAGGGATTTCTTCTTCCTCTCTGCAAGATTCTGTGATACAGAACAGGACATAGAATAGGCCAGACTGCACCTAAGAAGCTTCTCGCCCTCGTGCAGGAAGAGCTACTTTGAGCAGGGAATCTTATCACTTTAAAAATCAAGCTGAGATTATTTTAAAGGTAAGAAGGTTGACATATTACTGGCCAAAATATTAAAAAAGAAACCAAACAAAAACACCACATAAGCACAAAGGATGCACCAGCACAGGCATCCTTCCTGCTGCAGAGTCAAGATTTACCCAACTTGCATATTTACACAGAGTCATACAATGGTTAGGGTTGGAACAGACCTTAAGATCATGATTCTATGATTCTATCATATAAGAATATTGGGTTAAATTTCAGTAAACTGAAACCCTGTGTCTCTGTGATGCTGGCACAGGACATACCCTTTCAAGGGTCTCCTTCTCCACTTTCAGGTCTGTCAGCTCTTCTTCCAGTGCTGAGATCTTCATGTCCAGCTGTTTGCGGCTCTGCTTCTCAGCTTTGAATCTGGTCTGAGTGTCCTCAGAGGCTTCTTGAAGCTCTGCAAAAATACACTTCACTGTGGGTTTCAGCACTACATATATTTCAGGTGAGCACATTTGGGGCTGAGGGAAAGAACAGTCTCTTGCACAGTGAGATCAACAACACAGCTTGCACCTGAATGAGGACTAGACTGATGAGGAGCAGCTTCTGTGAAATGGCAGTGCTTCAACCTCAGCTTTTAACTTTTCAACTACTGGAACATTTCGGTTCCAGTAATGCCAAGAGATTGCTTCTGCAAGAGGGATCCTGGTCATGGGATGATTTTGTTCATTGATTCCTTTTAGTGCTAACAAGGATGCACATACCCTTCAAGTGCATCAATATCGTCTTTCAATACCTTGTGCGTGACCCTAGGGAAAGCAGGGATACCCCAGAAGAAAGGAAAAGCCTATGACTTACAAAAGAGGAAAACCAATGACAAAGGAGCTCTGCTGGAGCAGGCACAGGAAGCCTCACCTGCTAACTGTGCCTGCAGCTTGTTGAGCTGCATCTCATGCCGCTCGGCCTCCTGCAGGGCAGCAGAGAGCTGCTTCCGCAGGTCCATCTCCTTCTTCTGGTGGGCAGTCAGCTCCAGCTGCAGCTGGGAAACCTGTGCTGTGGCAGCTGCCAACTCCTCTGCAACTTTGGCCTGTGCCACAAAATGGAGCAAAGGAAGAAAAAAAAGATCTGTGAGCATGAGGAGGCACCACACCTGTTCTCGCAGGAAGAGCTGACAAGGCACTGGAGACATTATCAGGGAAGTGCCGATCCAGCACCTCACAGCCATCTCCAAATTGAAGATGTAACAATAAGGTTTTTTGCCATGTTACTGTGTTTGGCTGTAACCTGTCCACACTGACTAGGAAGCTGCACAGGGCCACCAACAACCTTATCACCACATCACGTCAACTCAGGGAGCTTTCCCTGAAAAGCTTAAATGCATTTTTAAGACAAGCAGCAGTGCCTGGTGGCTCTACCCAGAGTTTCCAGGCTATGATAACATCTATTCAAGCAAAAACCTGGGCTCCAACATCTAATTATCTTCAATAAACTTACAAATGACTGAAAAGCCACACAAAACACAGGCTTGTTCCAGCCACAAGAGCACCTTTCCTCCAGAGCACTCAGCACGTAGTCACCTTGAGGTGCCTGCACGGGCAGGGCTGGCATTCTGGAGCACAGATCTCAAGGTAATTTGTTGACTTGTTTAGATTTAATATTGCTCAGAGTCAGTGACTCATGTAAAACCAGGTACTACCACAGCTTTGTCACACAACTTGTAAACAATACGGTAGGAGAGGCTCAAGGCATCAAGGCAAAGTCATGTTCCCAATCTTGTTGCATGACACATGAAATTCAGAGGATGCTCTGCAAAGACACAACTACACCCATCAGAAAGCCTCACCTGCTGCAAGGAATATCCAAACAGCTTCTATATCTATGCCTACAGTCAGATTCCCAACAAGTTTTCACATTCTTGTAACTGATAAGTTCAGGAGCACTGGAGTTTCTCTCTGCTTTAGCCCCATAAGAGAACTAGAGTGTTTCTCTTCAGACTAGGACCACCACCTTCTGCCAGAGAAGAGCTGTGAGCAAAATTGTTCCAACTATGATGAGGATGAATATGTGCTGACCTTGAGGGTTGAGATACTACACCATTCATTTTAAAGAGGAGGCAGCATTTCAACAGAGACTTACCAAACCCAGATCTGCCTTCCTCTTATGTTTCCATACATGTGTCTCTGCAGTTCAAGATGCTAACTCCTAGCATGCTAAAAACAAAACCCTATGGCATATCTAAAGGGTTTTTTCTTAACACTTATCTTTATCTTTCATGGCAAATAAAGAAAAAGGAAATCCTATGCCAGGAACTGTTAACAGACTTAAGTTTCTGCAGTGAATGCTTCATATCTATACTAGCTAAGCTCCAGCCTCCAGCTTTCAGATACCAAGTGGAAGAGCCATGCTAATTCAAGATCTGAGGCAATTCTTTTGATGCCAATCAGCTTCTAGCTATGCAGAGGAAGCTGGGCTGGCACTACCCAGGGCACAGTTATCTATGGCCTACACAGTCAGCAGACACACTGCCTCACCTGGTCCCAGCCCCGATCCACTGGCAGCATGTGCTGGGAAGAGAAAGCAGTGACAGGAAACAGGGAGAGTTAAGAACACAACTTGAAAGGCAGAGGTGTTCATCATCATCAGAAAAGCAAAATGCTTCATTGCAGGAGCCTAAGACATGCCAGAGAAGCCTTTAAATTATTCCAAGAACTGTAAAAGCTTCGACAGAAAAAGGTAGTGAAGCCTGGCTTAAAAAGAAAGAAGCTAAAGGTACATTACACCCTGCAGATGTAGGAGTAGTGGGTCCTACACCATTTCCCTGCACTGGAGAGTGTGGGGTGTTACTGTCATTAGGGACGCAAAGCCTTCATCTAAAGCTGTGATGTGCTCTGCTAGGGTTGAAGATCTAACACTGAAAAGCAGCAAGCTACTAATATCTCTTCTCAGTGATCCTGGGCATAGATGCCTGGCCTTTAATCACAAAATAAATGGTGAATCCCTATTTTTAATTAAAGAACAGATAAAATAGCTTAAAACTCTCTTCCCTGATTCTGTCTGTCCATAGTGATCTCTGCAATTGCAGTCACAGAGCAAACTAGCTTAGATAAAAGGAAGAGGATGGAATATCAGCCTTCACATTTACAGTCAATACTCTCACAAAAGCAGGGGAAATCATCCAGTGCAAGTCAGCATGGCTTTTCTGGTGCAGCCTGAAGCCTATTCATGTAACAGTGTTCTCACCAGGCAGCGACTGCTGGATCAAGTGGAGTCCTGTTGAAGATGAGGCCCAAAAGATTCCTGAAGATCATCTTATACTTCCCAAAATACTTCCTCCCCAAGCTACTTACTGCACAAGCTGGATGTTGTGCTGACAGAAGGAATTTTATTCAGTATTTCAATCTGACTTATTCCTGGTCAGAATCTCTCACACTCCCTACATATCACAGGTATGCAGCCTGGGCTCTCAGTGTTAAAACACAGTCCTCCTTCACTGCCTGCTCACACCAGCACACAGTTGTCAGCCATGTGTTGTGCTGTTCTTTAGCACACTTTTCGGCATACTTTGGAAAGCTGCACTTTGTCATGGTTCTCATGCAGAGCAAGCATTTATCATCTCACATTTGGACAAATGCACAACTCAGCAGGGGAGCACAGTGCAAGACTGAACTTGGTGTTATTTAAGAAGCCAGTGCTTGAGAAAGCATATAAGACACCATGCAATTACTGACCTCAAAGCTAGCCTGGGCTAGGTTGTCCTAAGTGGACACTATAGGATGTGCAGCCATGCATAGTGCATTTAAGTGGTTTGAAAGCTATTTCCCAATAGCTCCTTTCACAAAAGCACAACGCATTATTGGTAGAAACAAACAGTTCTTGATTAGTATTAAAAAAACAAACAAAAAAACCCCCACAAAAGTGCAATGAATGCAATGAAGAAACTTTAGTAGGAAATAGTTTTTCTTACAGCTACGTTCATTCTGTCTGTTAAATACAACCCCTGTGCTATACAACTCCTCAACATGTTGGATATTTACCTACAAAGTTAACAATAAATCAGACACTTCCCTGTAAGATATGAATATGAAAGCTATGACAGCATAAAGATCCCCATTTATATCCTCTGTGCTGATTTTTTCATGAAAGCAAAGTGTTTCTCAGAACAGCTTTCAAAGCATAAGTCCAGAACTACAGTTGTCTTGTATGAGAACTGACTTAAGCCTTGACTAACAAGGCTTCAGCATGTTCTAGTGCCACCAGCAGCCCCCCTCGTGGCTGCAGCTGGAGGTCAATGGCTCTGCTCATTGTCACCATTACCTTCTCCTGCTCTGCATGCAACACTCTTGCCTGTGTGTTTTCAGTTGTTGTTTGCAGGGAATGGTTCCTCTGCTCCATTAGCAAGTTACTTTGCTCGACGTATCTGTGAATGGGGGAAGACTGGATGAGCATTTAGGTAAACACATGATCTGGAGCAAAAGGCTGAGATAAAAGGTGGTATCTCAAATCAGTTTTCTTCATGACAAGTCCCAGACCATTTTGCATGGTGGCCCGCACCAAGAGCAGCCTGATCTCCAAAGGGTGGATTGGGTGTGCCTGGCACAGCAGTTTGTATCAGTTTAGATACCCGCTTTACCCCTCTAATGAGTCTAATGTTCCTACCATACAGTCAAGAGTTGTGATTACCTGATATCCGCTGACATCTGCCATCTCCTTAAACAAGTTATTCCACTTCTTTAACCAAATGGAACACACACCCAGTGGCAGTAGGGACACCACATCTACAATTTCTTCCACCTTGCTAAAAAGCCAGCAAAAGCAAAGTAACTCCCAGAAGCAGAGCAAGTGCGCTCATGAGCTTTTCTTCTCTCCTTTTACACATCCCTGCTTATGCAGTAACCCACAGTTTTGGATATATGCTTGGCAGAGAGAAAAAGTGGGGGGGAACCCCACACTTACAATGCCTTAAAAAACATAATTAAATATATCACAACATGTCTTTATCCTAAAGAGCACCCCTCCTGGTTATGCCTAACCAAGTGCAAGCTAGAAAGTCTTTGCAAATGCAGAGGCTGTACCCTCCCACTCCTTACCTCTGATTCCGCTCAATCAACTCGCTGATCTTCTCATTCTGCTCCTCAATCCGACTACTCTTCTCAAATATCTCTTGCTTCAGCCTCTCATTCTCCTAAAGCATAGCCCAGCATGAATATTCATCTTACTCAGACTTCCCTGCAGCTGCACTGAAACCTTTGTTTTGTACAGATGCAGTACAGTGGTGAGATAACACCGTCTGTGGTCACATCACTGGAAGGCGCTGTGCTGCATTTAGCAGGAATCCTGGCATGGGACAGTGGCTGCCAAACCGCATTCTAGAGAATATTGTGTCTGGTTGACTTTTGCACCCACAAAACCCAAGATTGTAAGGCTGCTTCCTAGGAAAACTACAAAGCATAATACTAAATAGTGAAAAACAGAAGTAGGTGGGTCTTGCAACATGGTACTTCAGCTGTGAAACTGTTCTGTGGGATGCTGTGGGTTAAGTCCATAAAGGTTAAGTAGAGGCTGAATTTCTCTCACATGAACCTTTTTCCAAGCCAGTGCATCAACTCTGGCTTGCAAAGTACCCAAACCACAAACTGCTGAGCAGGGCTTTTTTAGGAGGGAGAGGGGTGGAAATCATTGTGCATCTCGTGCTCTTATCTAGGCAGCTGGTTTTGGCCATGCAAAGATAAAACACGTGGGCAGATGGACATTTGGGCCAAGCTATCTCCATTAGGAGTAACAGTGGGCTGCAGTTCCTTATGGAAGCAGTCAAATAAGGCTGGCCATACTCACCTGGATTATGCGTTGGATATTGCTCATGATCATGGAGGCTTCCATAGTAACAGAGGAGATACCAGGCAGGAGTGAGCTGTTACCAGCGTTTTGTTTCCTCAACTCCTCCACCTGCAGGGACAAGCCATTCTTAAACCAGAGGAAATTAATTTATGGGTGTTAGGCAAGAGCCAGGCATCCACAAAAATCCATTTCACTGTTGCATCTCATCAGCTGTAGTGTATATGCTACCGTATCTACTGTGACACCTCCTGAAGGGCAGTGAGTATCTCCAAACACAATGCACCAAGCCTAGGTTTAGCTTTTTCCACAATAACTGAACTGTTACTGCTTCAAGGTCTAGTAACATGGGACTTAATACAGGCATTTAAACATAGCCAACTCCTCAGACTATACCTGGAGAGCAAACAGCAGTACCATCACTAACAAGCCTGCCTGTGCCATACATTACCTTGGCAGCCAGATGATCCATCTTATCTACCACTTTGCTAACAGCCATTCGGATTTCAGTGTTATGCTGCCGAGCTTCTGTCATCAAGAAGGAAGTAACATCCCCAGGAGCTTGAACGGAGAGAGATGTAGAGTCACAAGGGGAAAATGCCTCCATACAGACAGACCAAAAACCATGCTTAGCAGTTTGAAGCCTGCCAGACAGGACAGCCACTCTCTTCCCAGAAATAAAAGGCACATGGTATCTGGAAAACTAATAATGTAGGTGTTTTCCAAATAACATGAACAGGCAGGTTTATGACTACAGGAAATTCTTGAGCCATGTGACAGCGCTTGGGTCAACAAGAGGGAAGCCCCCAGACACACAAGAACAGTAGCTGTGTAAAGAGAACAGTCAAACAAAAGGCACAAAGGCTGACTTTTGAAACTCTGAAGTTCTTTAATACCTTAAGTCCTTGCTAGGTTGCTATGTCCTCACACTTAAAGGTGTCTACATGTACACTTCAGTTCTTTCCCTGTCTGGTAGGAGAGCTGTTTACTATTACAGTGATAAATGTAACTGGAAGAACCATCTATAAAATACCTTTAGTAACATACAGCCTTGGGAGTACACCTGGAAATTCCATCCCTTTTCACACTGTACAAAGTTCTTTAAGGTAAAAAAAAAAAAAAAAAAAAAGATATTTATTGGAAAATGTTTGCCCCTTTTTGATATTTAAGAAATAGGGACGTGTGAAACCGTACAGGGGCTTTGGACAAGGGCCTGCAGGGACAGGACAAGTGGGAATGGTTTGAACCTGCCAGAGGGGAGAGTGAGATGAGCTCTGAGGCAGAAGCTCCTCC